ACGATGCGGCGCGACGATGTGTCCTCCCCAGCTGAGCTTGCTTGACTGCGGGCGGGTGTGGATCGATCGGTAAAGTTGGTGGGTGTTGGACGCAGGTGCACATTCGTATATGCGCGGAGGGGAAATGTGGCCACCTGGTCCAGACGCAGCGCGTGTGCAGGATACCGTGCACACACCTCGGCCGCAACCTGCTTGATCCGATCCAGCTTCTCGGCGTTACTGCTCACAAGGTCGTCAAAGACGTCGCCGGTCGAGATGGGCTGGTGAGAGGAGAGGATGAAGGGTGGGATGAGGGTGATGTGTGGAAGCCAGCGCGGGTAGGCCGAGTCGTGTTCGCGCCGCAGCTGCTGCAGTGCATCGTAACGACGCCGGTCAGAAGCCGTGCGGGGGGAGAGGAGCACCACCAAGACGCCCACCAGCTCGCGTGTCGGTGCGACGCTCCTGGCAGTGGCAATGGACGATGCCATACCGGCGAGTGTCCTGCGAAATGGTGAGCGGCAGAGTGATAGCCTCGGAAGCCTCCACATGTGCGCACGAAGCTGGCTTTCTCCCCCGCGTCGATTGCGAATTCCGCGCTCGCTTTCCCCCGCGTCGATATCCAGGCTGTCGTGTCCGCAACGCCACCACCTTGTCGAGCTTCCTCAGCCTCCACGATCAGCTCGCCACTGGTTACAGTCTCGCCATGCCGGTGCCCAAGATTCTCGTTTGTCGCACCATGCCGACCTCGGTGCTGAAAGCCGCTGCGGCAGCTGGCAAGGTCGAACTCATCACGCGTCCGGACGACGAGGGCGAGCAAGCGCCCTCTCGCGACTGGGTGCTCTCCCACCTACCGGGCGTATCTGGTGCGGTGATCTGTCTTTCGGAACGCGTGGATGCGGAGTTCCTCGACGCAGCCGGGCCCTCGCTCAAGGTGATCAGCACGATGAGTGTGGGCTACGACCACATTGACCTTGCACTCGTCAAGTCGCGCGGCATCCGTGTGGGCAATACCCCGGGAGTTCTCGACGATGCAGTGGCCGAACTGTGCCTGCTGCTTGCGCTTATGGTTACGCGACAGGTGCCCGTGGCGCTGCGCACCGTGCAGGAGGGCAGGTGGCCCAGCTTTCCTTGGACACCCACGTGCTTCATGGGCCCGAGCATGGGTGCAAAGACGATCGGATTCCTCGGGTTCGGAAACATCTCGCAGTCACTAGCCAACCTGCTGGTACCCTTCAAGCCCAAGCGGCTCGTGTACACCACGTCCAGGCCGAGGAAGTTTGATGCGGCCGACGGCTACTTTGGCTCGCTCGTGCGCGGAGGCTTCCCGGTGGAGAGGATCGCAGTGGAGAACGTGGACAAGATGCAGCTGGCCAAGGTGGCGGATGTGGTGTTTGTGCTCGTCGACCTCAACCCGACCACCAAGCACATTGTCGACAAAGAGTTCCTTGCCGCCATGAAGTAAGTGCCCATCCTGCGTGTCATGGAGAAAAGGAGCAAGGACTGACGCTTTCTGGCGACTAGGACCTCGGCGTACGTTGTGAATGCCTCGCGTGGCGGGACGGTGGACACGGCCGCACTGGCCGAAGCGCTGCGCACCAACAGCATCGCAGGCGCCGGACTGGACGTCATCGAAGGCGAACCAGGTAAGATCCGAACACGAATCCGCCGAGGTATCCGTGCAGCCCGTGATGGCCGCTTACTGACCGGTAATGTTGATACGGGGAATTTGTACAGACATCCAGGCGAGTCATCCGCTGCTTGCACCAGACTGCCGCGACAAGGTAGCCTTGCTTCCGCACATTGGCAGCGGCACCACCGAGACGCGCCAGGCCATGGCCGACATGACCATGAAAAATGTGCTTGGCGCACTGGGATTGCGAGACGGGCACGGCAAAGAAGCCGTCATGGACGCCGAGCTTTAAAATTTCGATCCGCCCTTCCTCCCCCCACCTGGGCCGGCATTCATGCCGGTACTCTGTCGAAAGACGCACCAATGCCAGTCTTGATGCCGTAGAGGAGTGATTCAGGCGCGAGGGCCGAACGCGCCGGAACTCTCCTTGTGAGCCTTGAATGGCACGACGGAGGAGGCGGAGATAGGTCGCAGCGGGCGTGTTGGGCGCCGTCACGGTCACCATCGATAAGCCAACTTGAGACGGTGTTGCACGGCCACCGCCACCACTGCATGCCGCGTGCTCCGCGTGCTCCGTGTATTGCGTCTTCTCATCACCATCCTAAATCAGGCCGGATCCATGTTTCCGTTTCGACTTGGGAGAGTGTGCTGTGCGGGACGAGGATCTGCGGATGTTTCCGCGCAGGTTCGGTATGGTCCGCATTTGGCAGTGCGCTGGTGGAGCACCGAATCTCCTCATAAGGCAGCTTGGTGGCAGGGTCTCTCGAGACCCCACCTCTAACCAAAAATGCGCTTTTTTGAATCTTGTTAGGTTGTGGCGCAGATCGGCGGCGATGGCGAGGTTGGGATCGGTGGGTGGTCATCGGGAACGGCCGCGCTTGGACCCTCGATTACCCCGCATTTTTTGGCTGCGCGCTGCTGCGCGTTGCTGCAGGGTCAGCCCTGTCGAAGCCGGATGGCTTGCGCTTATCTCGCGCTTTCCCGCCCCAACAGCCTGCTTCAGCTCGAGCTTAAGCGCCTTGCCCTGCGTCGCAGCATGGCTCGTGCTCAGACGCTACAACGCGCGGCCTCGATCGTGCGGCGGCGTTTAGACGCTCTCGGCTGACGCTGCGCCTGCGGTGGTGCGCCGCTTCGTGCTTCCATGCTGCAACGATACTCGCGGCGATACCAGCAATCCCAACATGGCACTATCGGATGCTCCGAAGATGTGCCGCATCGATTACGTCGTGGGGTGAGCTTACCAATGAGATCGATTTCGCACAGCGTCGGATGCATCCGTTGCTCGCAGAGAGAGAGAGAGAGGGAAAAGGCAAGGCTGTGCAGTCGAGAGCGGCTCGTCGAGTCAGGTGGCGAGGGCGACGCGCGAGACGAGATACTTCCGCCGATCCCTGTTCCAGTCGTGGCCGGCTGAGCGGGTGCCGTGCGTCGTGAGCGTTCGTTCGGGTGCCTTCCGGCTCTCTCCTTGGCTCGACCGGGCTGCGCGAGAATGCCGACGCGACCGGGCTCTCACCGCTGCTGCTGCTGCTGCTCCGCCTGCCGTCTTTGCCTTGCCTTGCCTCGCCCTGCCTCGCCGCTCGCCCTGATTTCCGCACCTGCACCCGCAACCCGCAGCCGCACAGACACTCGCGCCCGGCCGGTTCGCGTCGGAAGCCCCA